TTTATCTGTCTTGCCAGTCTTTTTGATGTGCGTCCAATGGTCTAGAACAGGCTGCCAGGACCAAAGCAGGAGAGAAGATTGGGAAAGGAGGTGGGTAGACGACCAAACTGTGGAACATCATCTCTGGGCATTTATCTCTGGGGCTGGATATTGCCAGCTAAAAGGATGCTTATTTATGAGTTATCTCAGGACCAGATTTTAGGTCTGTCCATCTGTTCAGAACTCTGAGGAGCCGTTTCACTCCAATGGGATGGGCCCATCTCACTTGCTCCAGCAGAAGCACCAGTGGTGGGATTCAAATACCTGAACAACTGCGTGGATGCAGGCCTGGGCATCCAAGGCCTAAAACGGACTTCCAGAAGTGGCATCTATGCACTTCTGGTGGGCCATTCTAGGCCTGGGAGGCCTCCTCCAGGCCTCCGAGGCCTAGAACGGACTTCCAGAAGTGACATTCACGCACTTCCGGCAGGCTGTTCTAAGCCTGGGAGGCATCCTCCAGCCGGTTCTCCGAACTCAAAAAAATTTAGCTACCAGTTCTACTGAACTGGTGTGAACTGGCTGAGTCTCACCACTGAGAAACACCCCATGTTGTATCTGTCTGCCAGAGAATTTCAGCTCCAAAAGAGTCTTTTCTGCTATGGCTCCCGCTCTCTGTAGCATTCTCTTGCTGGAGCTGAGACCTGCCCCTCCCACCCACACACATACTCCTGGCTTTCCAGAATAGCCTTAAAACCTGGTTCCGCTGGCTGACCTGGTCTCCCAATAGGGGCACCCTATGTTTGGGGTGGTTAATAGGGAGAAGATCTTCATCCTTATGTCATTTGTTCTCTTGGTACTTAGTTTCATACGTAATCCTATTGATTTTAATCATTTTGCATTCTCTTGTTTTACCTCTTTATCATATTGTAAGTTGCCCAGAGTCACTATACCAGCGAGATGGGCAGCATATAAGTTTAATAAATAAAGATTCGCCTCTTCTTTTAGGGAGAGCAATTGGTTATTGTTTTTCCTACTGACAAGGGACACTAGAGAAATTGGACACTTTCTTTAAGTTATCCTGTGTGAATCTATGAAGACAGTGCCAGTTGGTGGCCTCATTACTGAGGCAAAGTCACGCTCAGCAACGAAGGCAGAAAACGTCGCATAATTTTGTGCCAACTCATGGACTGCAGGAAAGGAAATTAACATGGAAAAAGAACCCTAAGACAAGGGTCTTTATGTAGCTAGCTTTGAATATTTTATTTCTTGATCAAGATAGGGATTAAGTTGATGAGGATGTTAATGCATCCTTAAGCTAGGGGGGAAAAAATTCATTGGAGCATTGCCTTCAGCTGACAGTCCTGGGAAGAAAAATAAAACTGCATACTTAAGCAAGCCTCTGATATTTTACAATCTCTTTCTATTTTTAGCTATCTGATGTCAAGAATGTTTTATGTTTAGTGTTAAAGGGCTCTTGTATATGTCATGATTGCAGGTATGAAAGAAGTTGTGCAAATTTGCCAGCTTAGTAACACTACAGAGCTTGCATCTCTCTCTCTCTCTCTAACAATTCAGGAAACATCCAAGCACAATTCTGCAATATTTCTTTCAGAGTTGCTGACCAAGTAATTTCCCATTGAGGGGAAATATTGCTATGGTCAGTTTCATCTCCCAGCTTTTCTTCCCTAACCCCTTCTTCCTTTGGCAATGTTTGCTCCAAGGGCCAAGTTGGTCACACATCCTGTAAAATAGCTTGTTGTGGGGACTTCTGTTTTTTTCTACAAGAAAAAAACAAACACATTTAGGGAATAATCACAACAGGATGGTGGGACTCTCTCCCAGATAGAGGCAGCAACAGGGTTCAAAACAGACAGTTCAACAGGCAAGGCCGATGGCTGGGTGAAGATATTTTCCCTCCTTGGTCAATGCATGGATAAAGTGCAGAAGATTCAGCCTAGCACAAGCTCATAGCTGACTTCAATATAGTGCAACCTAGAGCAATCTCCGATTGTTTGATACTTACCAAAACGTGCATAGACATCAATCACAGCTTGGTTTATGGCTAAGTCGAGGAGTCCATGACCCAAGCAGAAATGAGGAAAGATCAAAAATGCTTTTTTTAACATTTTGTTGAATTCTAGGAGAGGCTGAAAAAAGAAACACAGATGCTAGTCTTGCACAGATTCACAAGGTTCCTGCCTAACTTAGAAAGAAAATGGTTCAGTTTAGAATGAGAGGCCAGATGTCAGGTGCAAAAGACCAGGACCACATGTGAAGTTCCAATTAAACTGATTTATTACTACTCATGCCTATGCATAGGAATCTAATCAATTAACGGTTACCACTATTTTGGCACTAGATAAGGTTCAGCTGAATTTAAGAGGGGTTGGAATTAGTCCATTGGTGGCTACATAGCGACACTGGGCTGACTCTTCTTTTAACTCTACCCTCCCCCCAGGTTTTACCATTCCTTCTCCTACACCAGATTCCTGGTATACATTCTGATGAATAACATCTTTTACTATGAAGATGTGACAGTAGGAAATCAGAAGGGGTTTTTTTTTTCTTGAGAAAAGGAACATTATAGTACCTATAAAAGAAATTTCCTCATTTTGCAACATCTCTATATAATTTTCCAGAATATCTGATTACCTTATGCTGGAACATTTAGATATAGTGCAAAGATTCATGAATACCAAATGTTTTCTGACACTCTCCATTGCAGAGGTTGCTCCTTTTAAACTCTCATTATCTCTTAAAGCGTAGGAAGCATATATTTAATCATACCCTGACATAATGGAGCATAGCTAAAGTATGGTATTTTCATTACCATTTAGCCTAAGAAAAGTCACTCACCGCATTATTTTCAAAGAGGTCCAGAATAAATGTAATAGCACTAGTGTTAATACCAATGAAGAGATTAACGCAAGACAAGAAAACATAGGCAGTGCTGGGGACGCTAAAATAGCAGGAGGCAGGGTACATCATAGGAATTATGGCCCATCTGCATACAGAACAACGAGAAACAAAAGTGGAATGATTCAATTAATCAAAATATACAGCCATAAACCCCCCTCCCCAAAGGTGGTATAATGAACAATAAATTGATTCAATGGTGAATGAAAGATGGCCACGTTGTTACAGACTATCTTTTGATAAAACATAAAAAAGACCATTTTGTTTTTTCTGTGCATAAAGATTCCTCCTTTATTATTCAGGCCAGCTGGCAAGGAACATTTTGAAACCATTAAAAAAGTCAGAAACTTTACGAAAAGGGCTATTTATTCCTTTATTTATAAATTTATTCAGTTTATGTGGTTGCTCATTTGCCATGTGACTTTGGGCAGCTAGCTACCAGCCAAAAACATCAACAATATAACAGAGCAATTAAAACATGTCACACGAGTCAGCTCATATATCCATAACTAATAAAACGTATTATCAACTGGCCACATAAATTACTTGAAGCCAGCTCACCTAACTTCCTGAACCAATGCTTAGGAGAAGAGCACTGGTCTTCAATGCCTTATCAAAAACAGTAGAGCTGGGCTTATCTGGTTATCATGTTATTCCATAGGTTAAAGCAGTGGTGGCGAACCTATGGCACAGGTGCCAGAGGTGGCACTCAGAGCCCTCTCTGTGGGCACACGCACCGTCTCCCCACCTCCGTCTCCTCCCATGGCCCCCTCCTCACCAGCAGCCCTCCCGGAGGAGAGTCGCCCCTGGGCACGGCCCACGCGAAGCAGCACAGCCAAGAACATGGTAGCCGGGCAGCTGGGACAAGACTCTGCCCTTGCACCCTGTTGTGTGCAGATGATACTGCAGGGCATGGGCAGAGGGCGTGACCGCCATGGTGCTGCTGGGCTGCCTGGGTGATCTGTGGTGGGCCGTGGAGGTGGTGGGTGGCCCAGTGGGCAGGGCGGAGCAGGGACGGGGTGGGGGGGCAGTTTTTGGGCACTCGGTCTCTAAAAGGTTCGCCATCACTGGGTTACAGTGTCAAAGAAAGCCTACTTCTTGGGTCCCATCAGATGACACTGTTTAATAGAATGTATCCAGAGTACACCAGCCCTGGCAAATTACGTGGGATGGGCACACATAATTGGAGACAAACAGCAAATGACCCATGAAGGGTTTTATAGATGACAAGTAATACCTTGAACTGCCTATAGAAACTAAGAAATAGTATAGCTTGCTAAATAGTAATGCCATATGGTATAGCAAGATGCTCCCTTAACCACCTCTATCATAATATTCAGTGTAGCTTCTAAATAAACTGGAATTCGGTATTAGGCATGACTACCCAGAGAGTGCTGTAAAGCATTAAGGGGCAGTATGTAAGTCTAAGTGCTATTGGGTATGCAGAATTTATTGAATAATGCAGTTGAGAGATGGCCAAGGCATGAATAACTGTAAGCAATGCCTCCTGATCTACAAATGGTCACAACCAATGCACAAAATGGTTTTGCGCAGGAACTAAGAGTCTCTAGAGGATCCCCATGTTGCATACCGATTTAGTATGGGGAAGTGGCACCCCAATCAGAAGTAATGAAAAAGAAGACCCCAGAGTGGGTCTTTAACAGGTGAACCTAAGCCTGTTCTTTCCCATCCAGATCTCTACAGCTTCCAGTCAACGAGAGAAACCCTTGATAGCATCATTTCTTACATCCAGGATAGAAATGTATACCTGGGTATCATCAGCATACCTAATCCCATGCTCATCCAAAGCCTTCATAAGGTGATTAAAAAGAAGTGGGGAGAGAGTTGAGTTCTGTGAAACTCTACAAAGCATTGGAAACATGAGCAGGGGTATTATATAATAAACACAGATAGGCAAGAAGATGATGAATTACACAATTATTACCAACTGCCTTGTTCAAAAACCATTACGATAGTACGATAGTATGATAGTCATGTGACTATATATACTTAATGACCTGCAGCGATTTGCTTAATGATCACAGCAGAATTGATGTAAATCGGGCACAGGCACAGAGTTGCCGGTTCCCATTGCAGAAGATTAAGTGAGAACTATCTGTAATGTTTTTACACGTAATTAAGAAAACTTTGAATTATTCTAGGAAATAAGCAGGTAAACTGTAGAGTTTTGTAGAACTGATGTACTATGGTTAAAAAAAAGGTTTATTGAAACATGTACCTTAATATTTGTTTCATTTCACATATTTAATGAAACATCTAGATAACTTACCCGTATAACAATAGCAATATTATAAGTGCAGGAAGATTGGTTGGTGATGTGTATGCTTTTTTTTTGAAGCTCATGAATATTGCCACCACTAAGCCAGCACTCATTATATAATTCACCTGGCACAGAGGAAAAGAAAAATATAGTATGTATCAAATTGAAGAGCTATCCAGAAAGATAGCTTTTTGTAAGATAAATAAATAGAGATTAGCTTGTTCTGCCTTACTTGATTTTTTGAAAACAATGTTATATATATATATATATTAAGAAAAAAGATGGCAGGAAGAGACACTTGTGGAAAGGTATATATATCCCATAATTGCCAACAGCATGATTATTATCCATTCTGGTGAGTAGCATCTGGTTGAAAAAGTATATGAAGGGAA